TTTTTTTTTGTCACTGTCCAATCTGGACTGAATAGGACTAAAAGTTTTGCGGTCAACCCAACCCAAACGAAGAATGATTCTATTCCGAAAATTTAACAGTCTGTTCAAAATTAGAATAAAAAACACCCCAGATTAGTAAGTCTCTTTCTTTTCCTTTATTTAGTTCTTTATTCTCCAAATACCGGCAGCTGCTGATTCCGATTGCGTAATATCACTGTTGAAGAATTACGCCGCACGTATTGCGCAATAACGTTTGCGGTATTTTGCAGAGATAATGAATTTTGATTTTTAGTGTGAGATTTATTTATGAACACTTAAAAGAGTTTTACTGTACTTTCTAAGCAGAATATTTCTCAGTTCCATTGGTCTATTTTTATATGATGCACATATCGAAATGTCAAAATCATTTATTTAGCCGAGCAATCTAAAGAACGGCTACAATCTCCCCTCCTCCTGTTTTTCCAGTTATGCTCGACTATACGGAATATTCGCCAATTTCCGAGTATGCGGGTTAGTTAAGCTTTTACTGTTAAAGGATGACTGCATGAAGCAATTTCCCGTCTCCTGATTTCAGAAATGTTCCTCTTTTTTACTTAAATTACTTTGCTTGGAATATTGTTAAGGAAAAACTGTTATGCAATGAAAATTTAGAAAATGTTCAGAATTTTGATTTAAGTTAAATTATTTAAATATTAATATGAGTGGAAAAATAAATTGTATTTATTATTAGGTGCCAAGCGAATACAATTAATAAGGCTTATTATTATTCATTTTCTATATTTTGAACTGAAATTTCATCATTAAATCTTGTAATATAGTTTAGTTCTGCATAGTTTTTTTTCTCTCATTGTAAACTAATTCTGTAAATTGAACTGTCATTTCAAATTTTTTTTAAAAAAAGTTAATTGTTTTCCATTGTTGAGGTAATGCTCATTCTCTTAATAAATATTGCATTGCTCATATTTTAAATTGCAAAGTCTAATTTTTCTTTTAAGGTTATGCAGTTGTGTATAATGTAATTAGACAGGTGCTTATTTTTTTCTTAAAATGTGCTTGAAAAGTGCTTATAGGTACTTATTTTTTTAACTAAAATGTGGCTATGAACCCTGTTCAAGAAAGCTTTCAATCAGAAATATGTTTAAAATTTGATAAGCTCAGTCTAAAGTAAAGAATAAAATATCTCTTAGCCAAGTTTTCATTGTGCTTAATTACATAAAACTATTTTAATATTACTAAACTAAAAAGGAACTAAAAGAAATTAAAGGAACTAAAGGAAAAACTAAAAAGGAAGAAAATAAAATTCAAGTGTTTTTCCATTAAAAAGTTAATTGTTTTAATAATGAAGCATAATTATATTTAATCTCAGCCATATTACCTTAAAAATAGCATGTGAGGAGCTTCATAATGATATTTTTCATTTACACGTACACGTACCAAAGTTAAGCAAGTAAATAAATCATAAAATGCATTTTCAGATTTCTCATCGAAACGTTATAGCTAATCATTTAATTAGAGAGCAGAAAGTTCGCTTTCAACCTAATAAAATAAACAGATAAATTAGTGATAAAATATACAAACAGACGTATTTTTGAGATAATTAAAATTCAGAATACTCCATTTACTATAAATAAAATTACAAATACATTTTATAGTAATAAAAAACCATAAGTCCCTTTTCGTTATGTGGGCTTTTATCAACGTGCGCTTTTTTCAGGGTGGGCTTTTATCAGTGTGGGCTTTTCTCAATATGCGCTTTCATCGCTTTGGGTATTTGTCGCGTGGGCAATTATCACAGTTGGCTTTTTTTGTGGCGTGCTCTTTCGTCCAGTGGGCTTTTGTCTGGGAACCGCATAAATACCCTTACGTATTTCATATTTTTCATTTTTGGCATGTGCTAATCTTTAATTTCTGTGCATTCACTGTGTGTTTGAAACATAAAATAAAAGTTTAAGCATAACATTTTTGCTAAAATCTAGATTTTTATAATTCAACAATAACAGCTGAGAATTTTATAAAACAAATTCATAATCAAAATTGCTTTTGCTAGTTATTAAAAAATAACCAAGATATGATTTTTGCTTAAATGTCACTAAACTATACAAATTGCTATTATCCATCACACAATGAATGTTTCTTTTATGTGGAAGTGTCCCGTTTTTTGATTTGTATGAAACTTTCATGCTTCGAAATAATATCAGCACTGTCAAGGGAGTTTCTGAATGTAAACTAAAAGCTCCCCATCTGGTGACCGAAGCTTCGTAGCAGTGCTTCATGTCTAGTGCCGGTTTAGCCACTCCTTCCTTTCTTACCTCCATGTGACAGCCTGTCATCAGAAAGCTTTATCATGTAACACAAGCGCACGCTTGACATTGCAAAAGTATTGGAATTAATAAAATAAGAGTTGAAAGCTGATACTGCTTTAGTTTAAGATTTAAAATTTTGATTAAAAAGCTTTTGGTGTTAAAAGCTTAAAAGTATTTAGGTATACTTTTAAGCCCAAAAGGCTTAGTCATGAAATATGATTTTGGATTGTTTCACTTTTATTTGAAAAAATGTAAAAATTTATTTCTTCATATTTAATCTGTTATTAATTACCAAACTATATTTATTTGAAACTATTGGTAAAGTTCTTAAGAATATTATTTTTTCGATTTTTTAATCTGATCGATTTAAATAAAAATGCATTTTTTTTCTTCATGATACAGCTAATTAAAAACGTAAATATTTTTATAGAATTGCATTATGTATTTTTTCATTTTTTAAGTGTGCAGAAGGTATAAAATGTTCCCATGTTAGTCTAAATACATATTCATCTAACACCTGTAAAATGTTTCGCTATTTGTATTGATATTCGCCATGTGTATTGATAATCTCTACCAATAAACCATGTGTAACCTAAAGACAGGACTCGTAGAGTCCTTAAAAGTCCTTAAGTCTTTTCGAATCAATTTTTGGTCCTTAAAAGTTGTTAATTTCACCCAGAATCGCAAGACGTACAAATGTGCCCTTATGTTCTAAGTTCTTTCTAAATAAGAGGTTTATTTAAACTTTTATCTGACTGTGTAGTTATTTTCTGACATAGCAATAATTGCTTTACATCTGTCAGGGGTTTTTGACTATTTAACTTTTAGCAGATCAAGTAAAACCTCATTGGTACATTGTCAAAGGATTGACAAGTGTGCAGTGTGTTAAAGTGTGCAGAAACTAGTGAAAATATTGGTTTGCATATTGAAACAAATTTCTAATTGTTAGAAAAAATGCTTGAAGAGAAAGAAATTTAATGATTAAGGCTATCTAGCTACTTAATTTAATTATTTGTAACTAACTGCTCACCCTTAAAAGTTATTGCTGCATGTTAAAGCTAATTATTGCCTTTCTTGAATCCTTGCTGTTAGTACAAGGTGCAGCAGAGAAATGTAAAACTTATTCTTTGCAGCTAGTGAGACTTAATACAAAACAACTCATCACCCTGCACCTAGCTTATTAGAACCTTAAAGTATATTAACTGGGTTATAACCTAAAAACTCTACATGAAACAACGATACAAACTGTGTCAGACAGAGCATAACTAACTTTCAGAACTTGCCAACTGTACCTACATCAGACTTTCAGATCTGTTCTGATCAGCAAGTCTCTCTCTAGGCAAGCAGCAGCAGTGACAATAGCCTGTCTTCTGTTACCAGTCATGCTGATTATGATTTTACTTTTCCTTTTAACCTATGCCATTTAACATAAAATCTGCCTGCTATTTACTAAACCACTAGACTGAGCAAGTATGTGACAAAATGAAACATAAAAGAAAAAGTCAACAAAAAGCTAACTGTTAGTAAAATAGAAAAAAAATATCACTAATAAAATTAAATGTCATCAAATATGTCCAGCTATTATAAGAGTAAAATATTTAATGCTAGTTGATAAATTTTATAAAGTTGGTTTATTTTCATATTTGTTTTATAATTATGTTTAATAATAATGCATTGTGCTTACAGATCTATTTTATTCTTAGGATGGTATTACAAAAGTTAAATTAAGCCCTAGATAATATCTTTAATGAAATGTATTCAGTTCTCTTTTGCTGATAGGTCCTTATTTTTTTTTTCATTAATGGTCCTTAAATGCACTTATTTTCTATGTGCATAAATTGAAATGTGTACGAACCCTGTAAAGTCTTTTGGGTCATCACTAAAATGAGATTTTTTCCCCTCCTTTTTCTGTAGAACATTTTTCTGTGGGTATTTTACTATCAAATTAATTTTTATTTTATTTTTAAATTTTTTATTTCACTTATAATAATGGTTCTCAGTAAGAAATAATATTAAGGCAGGTAAAACAAGTTAAAGTTGAAAGTAGGAATTTTAATTTTGTCATATTTGAGACATTTTTATTAAAAATACTTTTTTTCCATTCATCTAAAAATAGCCTCTGTAATTTAACAGGTGGTTAAAATTTTTTAGTCATTTGAAGAAATTTCAACTTGAAGGTACATTGTACTTTTAGTTCTACTCAAGAAATTCAGTGCTAAAAATTAGAAACTCCTCCACGAAAGCATTTCTTCCCTTAAGCAGATCACCCTAGTGTGCTTTGCCGTAATCAACTGGTGCTTTGCCGTAATCAACTAAATGTGAATAAGTAAATAAATAAATAAGATTAGAACCTTGTAGCACATGATAGATGTTAGCTTCTTATTTGTATCTTGGTGGTTTCAATATGTTGTAATGTTCTGAGTTTTTCAAATACTATTACTTGATTATTTTTTTTATTGTTATTTGATAATGATGTTAAGATTTTTTTGCTTTATAATCTGTGTTAATCTTTTGAATGAATCATAGTCCTTCCCCAATCCAGCATATATAATACAGAATATAGCTATTTGTTTAATATGTTTGAATTTCTTCATCAACATTCATTTAACCACGTCTCGTATGAAAAAAACTTTAAAAAAAAGGGTATTTAATAAATAATTTCAAACATTTTACTTATTTTTGAATTGTTATTCTTAGATTACAGCTAGAAGATTCATATATTGATGAGCATCCATCAGTTAGTACATTGTTGAATTCAAGTGAAAAGATTAATAATGTATCATTATATGATTGTTTTGATCTGTACTTCAATGAAGAAAGGGTAACATTTTCTTTCTTATTACTGTATTTTAATATGTATTTGATACATATAATATATATTGATAATATATTATGTGTTTATTATTTTAATTGTGAATTATTATAATTTTATTATATTGAAAAATTTGTGTTTATGTTGTGGATATAACTGTGCAGTTATATAATTAGATTTGGAATATAGAATTACAGTCAAAAGTCTTTAATCTGGACTCGTCGGGACTTTGGCGATTCCAGATTATCGGTTTTTCCGGATTATAGATCATCAGTTTAAATCTGGTAAGATGGCATGCAGAAATTATAAAATTAAAAATATGAAACTGCAATTTATGAAATAAAGAGCAATTATGATCTAAAGGGTATCAAAATTTACAAAAAAAAAAAACAGTTTAATATTTATTTGTTTACTTTATTAAACATTTCTTTCAATGCACGCATGCGTAAAGCGTACATTACGCATAGTCGAAATTAGAAAATCGCAACCAGAAAACTATTTAATATGTATTCGTGATATTCATAATGACGAGGAAATTGATTTAAATTATATCGGAGAACATTGAGATGAAAAACTACATTTAGTGAGGAATTATAAGCCGAATAACATAAAAACATCTGCCCTGAAGGTGAGGACAGATTATAGTTCAGCGCATCGCGAATTTCCCCCCCTCACCCCGCACATGAAGATAACAATTGAAATGGTTAGAGAAACAAGTCTTCATTTTGTTTGCCTTCCACTTTTTGTTTGTGGACATCGAAAATGTTTTCCAGTTCCTTTGTTCAGGAAATTCGACTGAAGTTCATGGACAGTCTGATTGCATTCAATTTCTGCTCTGTTTCCATCCCGTTTCATTGCGCACCCCGCGCTTCACCCCCCCAGCCAAAAAGCGTGAATTGATAAACAGATTTTGAAATGGTTAGAGAAACAAAAGTCTTCATCCATTTTTTTGCAGCAATTCCACTTTTTGTTTGATGGACATCGAAACATGCTTTCGCTTTGTAGTTCCTTTGGCAGGTTCAGAATCGGAAATTCTTTTTGACATAATTGAAAGTTCAAGCTTACTTTTATAAAATTGCTCTCACAGTCTGCAAAAAATAATAAGCCGGATCCAATTCGAAGATTAAGGAACAACGCAATCTGCAACATTAACTGAAATAGGTAATTAGATAATTTTAGCTTAGCTTATACCGTCCGTTATACATTAAACGCGCATGTGTAAACGTATTATGCACATGCACACACGCATATGCGCATGCATAAAGGTATTACACATGCGCGTATTACCTTTAATCATACGCCTATGCGCATGCGTGAACGCATTATGCGTTCACGCATGCGCAGAAAGTTTGTAGCTTTGTGGTCCGGATTATAGATCATTCTGAATTATGGGTGTCCGGATTAATGACTTTTGACTGTATATAATTTGGGTTTAATTTCATATCATCTGAGTGTAGAATTTGGCTTCAAATAGATTATTAATTAATGAATTATTTATTAGCCTATTATGAATTATTTATTATTTATTAGCCTAGTTAGTATTGTCTTCAGTAATTTGTAGCTAAGCTGTAAAAATTAAAAGCATTTTTAAGAGAAAATTTAACAGTTTTAAATATATTATGTTATTTAAACTTAGAAATGAGTGAACTGAAAATGATCTAATCACTGATTAGTTAGTTTTGAGCATTTGGTCAGGATACTGAAAATTATCTAAAATATGTTAGTGTATGCCACTGAGTCTGTTGTCTCATTCCAGTAAGAGATATTGAGAAACAAGTTTTGCTTGAGCATTCTTGTGCCAAATGCAATCAGTACAGGTTTCTCCATGAAAATAAAGCAAATTAATAATTCAAAGTACTTTTACTTAGTTGTGGGTCTTAGCTAGTACCTCAGTACTATAGGTGGGCTGTCTATATGATCTGTGCTTGATGCCAGCCTTGGCTAATATATGGCTAAATGTAAATACCTTTTCCGTAACAAATGCTCTTTCTCGTAGTTGTATTATTCAGTTTTAGTGCCCATAATATTCCTTTGATATTAATAATGTAGTATTAAGTCCAAGATTCAGAATGGTTGGAACTTCAGCTATTCTGGATTTTAGAAATTGCCACATTATCTAATAAAATGACATGTAGAAATTATATAAAATTGAAAATATTTATTAATTTTTTCAGAAAGAGTTATTTTGCATTAAGAAAGATTTTTGCTGAATCACAATTGCATGAAATTAAAATCTGAATTAAAATTGAAATGGCAATATTTTCTAGATTTAACACTGCGCTACATATATATGCTATTCTGTTAATTGACTGATGATTAAGGTATTGTCGTTGCAGTGGAAGACTTCAGTAATATCATCTTCATTTAGCATTTCTTCTCATATTCCATTAACCGGAAAATTTCACCTTTTCTTGTGATATTTAAAAACCTTCAAATTCACGAGTCATCACCATCATGAAATTTCATAGCTGGCTAAATTATGCAAACATTTTTTAAAATATCTACAGACATGTCCTGCCGTAATCTTTTAAACCCTTACACATCAGATTTTATATTACACTAATGTTTGTGAAAAATGCAGCACGATGAAGGAGTTGTCGGAAATTACTGAAATTTATTCCACTTATTACTAATAGTGGTACAAATAAAAGACCAAATTTACAAAAAGAAAGGAAAAAAAGGAAAGAAAAAGAAAAACTAATGTTGGAAATCAGTACTTTGTATGCCTGCCATGTTGAGCGAGAGAGCTTGTACCCTTTGTGTCATTGAATCATATGGGTTTTGAATGTAATCCTGGGAAATGGCATTCCATATGGCTATGACTTGACACCAAAGTTCAGTCTTAGCGTGTGCCCCACCAACTGTACAGATGGGTCGCCGGCCAATGAAATCTCAAAAATGCTCATTGGGAGACATATCTGGGAAATAAGCTTGCCATGTAAGATATTAAACCTGATGAGCCCCAAAGCAGGCTTATACAGTCTCAGAAACATGTGTATGGGCATTATTCTATTGAAATACAGTGCCCAGAATGCATTGAAAAATGATGAGGACCTCGGGCTCCACAACTTCCCAACTAGTTATATTGCTCCACAACTAGTTATATTGTTGAGGTTGCCCACAATTTGCATTAGATGGGATCGACAACTACACCCAATAGCTCCCCACACCAGGACAGTGGATAACACACTGTGTGAGCAGACATTGCTCTCTGTAACGTCTGATGCAAACACATATATGCATATTATCTGTACATGTAAATAAAAGCATGCACATGTACATATGTGTAAATACCATGTATATGTGATAACTGTGTATGTGTGTAGAGGTACTCGTATATCTATGTGTATATATGTATTGGAAAATTACAGATTTAAATTCAAATATTATATTAATTAATATTTTTTCATATTCGGTATAGAAGTTTTATTGAAAAACATGAAAGAGATGAAACGCAATCATATTCCATTTATTGATAATTTTATGGAAAGAAAAGAGATGAAATGCAATCATATTCCATTTATTGATAATTTTATGGAAAGAAACTAATTCCCCTTATAAAGTGAGGATTTTTTATGGGATCAGCTATAATATCTTGTATATATTTGCTTTCTATATTTCTTTTATTATAAATAATTTCAAACCCAAAATGTAGCAAGAAAGCAAAATGTGAAAAATGTATGAAAAATATATAATACTTTTTCGAAATTTTGCTTTCCACAGTTTTACAGCATTTACTAAGATTTTTTAAAAAAATCTCATTAAATTAGCATTTACTCTCCTTTTTCTAGGAGATAATCAAAATAAATATTAATAATTAAAATATGGATACATATGTATCCTTTTGCTTCACCTTATTCCATAGAAATTATACCCGTATTGATAAGAGTCAGGTCATACCTTCGAACAATTGAATATCCTGTAATGGCATATCAATGAAGTCAATATACCCTGGTGGTTTCCGAAGATTCTATTCTTGGTAGCAACTAAATAAAACTTCTGTTTCTTTTCCTTCATGTACACACGTACAACGAACATATGGGACAGTTTCACTCCGAAAGTTCTTAACAAATGCCCACCAGTGGCTGAGCGATACAAAATGCTGAACACTGGTAGTTCAGTCTGGGATTTGAATCCCAGGCAATGAACTGGCTGCATGGTCATTTTCAAGATTTTCTCCATGTGTAACGTCCATTCAAGCCAGCTCCCCTTAAAACGTGTTCCATGAAGCATCCCTCCCTTTCTGTATGGTGTGTAATAGCAAAGCACATAATAAATAAATAATAATGAATATAGTCTTTAATGATGTTATTTTTCCACGTAGCCAAACAGCGTAATTTTGCATATTCATAATCTAATTTATCTTTTTTTTCATATATTACCGAGAGACTGAATTGTAAGCTTTTTTTTTTTTTTTTTTTTTTTTTTTTTTTTTTTAAGAATGAAATTGTGGTGAAGTAATAATGAGAAATGCTATTTTAATAGCATTGGTAATTTCAGTATTCCTGACATTTTTGTGCTTAAGGGAAATGTGAGCTAAATTCCTGCTGAAGTGACCTGCATAACAGCATCTATATTTTGACAGGATCTATTTATGACAACTCTGGTCTTTATATGCATATAAATAAACTTCGGAATATTTATATATAACAACCAAGGCACAAAGGGCTATCTGCCTAAGGGAAAAGGGGCTTCCTGGAGGACTTTTTAAGGGAAATTGGTTGGTACTTATGCTACACATAACACCACATACAGCCAGCTAGTTCACCAAAATATGAACTAAACCTACTATCAGAGTTCATTAACTTTACAACTGGACCTTTGGTGGGTCCATATAAATAAATAAATAAAGTTAACAAATCCACTTGAAATTTTATGACATTAGTATTAATTTCACTAATTTTTCAGTGCCATCAAAAATGTACTTTTATCATAATTTTTATATTTAGTATTACTGTTTGAAACATGCAAAATGTAATGCAATGCAGTAAAAGTATAATCAATATTTTTTTTATAGTAAAGGAGAATATATATATTAAAAAAAACACTAAAGGAGGAAGAAAGCAGTTTTTATGAGAAAAACGCAAGAAAGAACAATGAACAGTAATGTAGTGGAAAGATGAAATACTTACAATACAATGGGGGGAAGCAATTAAATTTTAAAAAATGAATAAGAATGCCAGTGAAAAAGGTAAACGAAACTAATATCACAAAAATACAAGAGGATTGATTTAATATATAGATATAAGTTGTTACACAATGTTTGTAACAAAATGAATGGGCACTGGCAATTTATACGAAAAAAAATAGTTAACCCTCTCGCTGCGCATCCCGCGATTTCCATGGGCAACATAAAAGTAGTAAAATTTGCATTACCTGTGATTTCCGCGGGCATGAATTTTTGCCGTCTATTTAACTGTGCAACTCGCTCTTTCCCCGTTCAAGGTTTCCTTTCGGCTTTTCTGTGATGTTTAATTGTTTATTTAGATGTAGGCTAACAGATGGCTTTAGTTGTCCACATTTCTGCCAAATCTATACAAGAATACGTAATGTAGCATTTTGCACGTGCTTTTCAGAGCTCAAAGATGTCTGGCAGGAAGCATTTCACGAGTGAAATAACCTATATTCTTGACGATATTTTCGACACTGATAGTAGTTCTGACTCTGATTTCAAGTATATTGAAGATAGCTATAGCGAAACCGATGAGAATTTCTCGGATTCCTCTGCAGATAGTGATGAATCCAAAAATTCAGTTTCTATTGAACACATTCGACAGTGGTGCAAAATTGATATGCAGAATATTACATTATGCAAATATTTTCATTAAATATATATGTTTTACCTTTGTATTTTATAAAATAAATCATAATTTAACCAACATTAATTTTCAAAATTTTTCTTTTATATTGATTGAAGTATTGGTTCAATTTCAGTATTCTGACAACCTTTTCTATGATCTAATTCTATATTGAGAAAAAACCCTTTTACAAAAATTTTTTGTATATTTTAACTCTATAATATATATAGATTTGAAATATGTAATAAAAAAATACGCAATTTTTGAATCTATTTTGATAACAAAAATTTTAAAAAATTACGCAGTGAGAGGGTTAAACATCATTTTCGAGTATAAATTAAAACTATTAATTAGTACATGTAATTCTCAACTAAATTTAGTTTCAAAACAAATAAAAACTGATTAGACTATGTACTGATTTTAGGCATACCTAGGAAGTGTTTGCTGCTAAGGCAAATTTTCATTGTAACCACAGGGTCAAGAGTTAATATTCCACCATTCGACAATTACTTAGCTGCAAAATCTACATAGTTTAGGGAAAAGAGACACAGAAAAGAGAAAAAAATCCTTTGTATTATTCCCTAGTCTCTTATCTGAAAATTAACAAAGGCAACCCTCAAAGACAATCTAAAGGAAAGGTTTCAAAATAGTAGTAATTTCTCTTTACAGTGGCAGTTAAAAGGAGGTGGAAATGCATTTGGATTACCCATCCTTTTAAGTGAAACCTTTCCAAGCTCCACAGTCAGTTAAATGTTAAAAGTATGGAACCTGTAGTGGGAGTGCTGGTAATCAATTAGAAACTGAAGAGAGGAAGTAATGTTAACACATCTTCGACTTGTTTGCTCTTTAAGTCATGCAGAGTTATCTTTTGAAGGCAGAGAGTGAACCTACTTGTTCTAACTGTAATAGCATTCCATCAGCGTATCACTTTTTTATTGAATGTCCATATTTTAACAGACTTCGATTGAAGTATTTTAATGGCTACAACTTCCCTCTTGACTGTATAACCGAGAAAGATCTCAATGCAAATTTATTTCAGTACCCGGAAAAGCTGCGTCTTTATAATTTAATTTGATTTTGATTTGATGTTGTATCTTTCTGTTTTAATATTACATATTTTAATGTATCTTGTGTTTTATGATTTTACCCATTTCATATCTGATATCATTATCTGAATTATAAGTAACATCATCTCAGCACTCATCATTTTAAACTTGTGATTTTGTCTAATTCTTGTGCACAAATAATGAACGTGTGTTTGGTGCTTATAATCTCTTCAGAGCTGTGTGCCATAAAAAAGAAACTTTAACCTTTTGACGTTGTTAATTTTTGTATTAACTTTTGCACTTCTTATTCGTTCTCACTTTCTCATTTCTTTTATTTAAAATGTTCATTCTTACTGCATACTTAAATTCTCATTACTTAGAATTAATCTATGAATAACATCACAGTTATGCATGTTAAGAAATAACTTTTAGTTAAATATTTTTCATTTATGTAATGCTATCAAAATCGACATTTTTTATTTCCATTCTATTTCAGTTAGGAGTTGAAGATGCATGGATGTGCCCATATTGTCATCAGCGCGTTCCCTGTGTCAAACAGTTGAGTTTGTGGACTGTACCTGATGTATATATTGTGCATTTGAAAAGGTTTAAACAGGTATGCAAAGCTCTCCACATCAAATTTTTGTTATTTCCTAAAGACATATTTGTACAGAATGTTTCAAAAATAAAACCTCTAGGAAAATAGTAAGAAAACAGTTTTTAATTCAGATAAATTCTCTTTTAGTATTATGTACAGTTATTTAAAGTAACTCTTGACTCTTCATGCTTTTATATTAAACTACAGTGTTGAGTTTTAAGTTTTTCAAAATTATAAATATTGCTTAAAACTTGTATTGTTTACAGATATTTTTGTAACGTTGTATTGTTTGCAGATATTTTTGTAACGTAGTCTTGTTTCCAGGATGGAAACAATAAGATAGTAAGTCATTTAAGGTTTATTTTAAAACTTAACTAATGAAATTCCAGGTTTTAATAAGGCCTGAATTAATTTATAAAAGCAACATTACACCACAATTTTACAGAAGGGAAAGTCAAAAACTTTCTAAATGCCAGATGCATCTCGATCTAATGGCATTTTTTTAGGCAGAGAGGGAGTGGAACCTCGTTTTCTTCTGCTCTTAAATAAAAAGTAGAAGCACAGCAGGGGTGCAGTCCAAATCCCCTTCGGTGACTTGCACTCGATCTAGTCAGAGTTTACAGAAGCAAATAAATTGCTGGCCATTAAAATTCAACACCATGAAAAAGAAAAGATAGCAAAACCAAATTTATTTTACAAGGATAAGATAATTTAAATTTCAAGTAGTTTGGGTACCCAGATCCTATAAAAACCAATGTTGCAAGTGCCCACTATGAAAAGTAATTACTGTTGCTATACAATTGGGAATTGAGTAAAATAAATTGTGAATGCCGCCGTGAAAAATTGCAATCAATAGTGCTTATATTTTGTATGAGCTGATTAATTGTGCTTGGTGGTACAGAACTGTTTAATTAATTGTGTTTGGCATTGCTGATTCATTAATGGTGTCTGGCATGATAATTCTTCTGATGAATGACTTAGGGAACTGGCCAAAGCAGAAGAGGAGCAGGCAGTATTGAGAAAATATGCTTGTGTGGAGCATTCAATCACACATTGTTTTGAATTCTTTTCAATGTTCCATTGCTTTCTTTACACTAGTGTTTTATTTTATGATATAATTTTATTTATATCTTTTAAAAGGCGTAATAATAATATTGCTGTGATCTTCAAATAATTGGTAACTAGTATTTCAGTTTGACTGTTTTTACTGTGCGGAAGTCATAGTAAGTAAGAGGTCATGTTTTAATTCATATATCATCACTTCTTCATAATCTTCACAGCTGAACCATGAATATTAGATTTTTTACTGACCAATTTTCTTCCGAATCCTAGATCTTTTATGGGTAAGTATGTCAGATATGCATCAGCCATAAATGTTATTTTGCAGGTTCATGTGTCATATATGAATCGCAATTTAAATTAAGGATTTGTGTACCACATACAAATTTTTAAGTAGAACATTTCATTTTTTTTTTTTTTTTTTTTCTCCCATTACATGTGGCCTTATATCTGTTTTAGTGGAATTTATTGAGACTGGAGAATGTTGACTTTGTTGTTGTATTTTTTATTTTTGGTGTTTTGTTTTTGAATGAAAGCAGGAATCAGGAGGATGAGTAATGCAAATAAAGAGCTGGCTAATAGTGCATCAGCTGATGTAGACATAGTGTTAAAAATTTTACATATAGGTAAATAATTTTAGTGAAATTATAGTATTTTTTGTATAATGTAATATGAAATGTCTGAAAAGAGCAGAGCTTTGCCAGAAAAACAAGATTACAGGGGCAGGTCTATTTAACATTGAGGAAATGGCTGTCTTGCTAAATTCGCAAGATGTCCATAGACTCCAACTACTATATGGATTCTCCATAGTTTCTATGGAAATTCCTGAAAAGTATGGAGACACTACAGATTTTTCAGAAAGAGGGTAAGGAATGTGTGGAATATGCAAAATGGAACCAATTCATATGATGAGTGGCTAAGTACTTGTGTCATCATGTATCATGTGTTGAGAACATTTCTGTTTTTGAAGAGTAGACAACTATAGGTCAGTTAACCTCTGTAATCTAGTTCCTTACACTCCCAGGTTCTTTACTGCAATAAAAGGCTTGTTTTGCCTGCCTTGGTTCCAATTCGTTTAGATTACGGAGAGAGCATAGCATGTGTATCTTGTGAATTGTGATTCAGCTAGAAGCTTTTTCGTTAATTATGCTGCCTTAGACGAAGAATGTAAAATTATCAAAGCAGAAATTAAAAAATTTATATTCATCAGAATTTCCATGCATTTTAAAGCATCCAAAATTTTGTGAATCACACACATTGCAGTTTATGCAACGAAGATTTCTCAGTTGTGTATGGCAGAAAGGATGGCTGTAAATGGCACATTTTTTCTCAACAGCATATAGAACTGGGTAATAACTGTAAAGAATAAATGTAAAATCTATGTAAATGTAAAGAAATAACAAATTTCTTTTCATAAAAGATAATGAAACAGATATCATAAAAGCTGAATACTATTTTGTTCAATTTTTAATTGAACATAATCTACCGATTTCAGTTTCCGACCATTCCTACCTGCTTTTCAATCTGTTCATTTCTTGGTGTATATTTTCCGATCCATTATTGGTGAAAAATATCTTTAATCGAGTGGAATGGAGTTTTCTGTTTATCAAGTAGATGATTTAAAAGAAATTGTAGATTTGCATACTGTTATAGCATGGGTGGAAATTGCTAAATTAAAGGATATGAATGGGTGCATTAAAACAAAGTACTGCCTATTGTAATGTTTGCTTTCATAATAATACCGCATTAAAATGCAGTTTGCGAAAAAAAAATTTTCTATTATTTAAAAAAAAAAAAAAAAATCCAACTGAATTTCAACCAAATTTTGGTCTTAAAACTCTTGAAGCAGCTCTGATGTAAAAGATAAATATGCAGGCAAATGAAAAACTGTGTTAGAAAAAAGGCATTCTCAAATTCAAAACTTAAGCAAGCTACATATGTATCTTTGCATTCATAATTTATAAATAAATTAGAAGGTTTTTTTTTAATAATTATATGTATTTATTCTTAATTATCTGAAATTTGATTTTTTAAAGTTTTATTTCCCTGAAGAAATCAAATTCAGAAACCTCATAAAGACATATGATTTATGGATTCCTATTTTCTCTTTGAGGAGTAGTGATTTAAAATAGTTGCTTCAATCGTACATGAGCGGATTTAGTGATACACCTGCTTAAGGAGTAAAATGAAAATTTTTAATTAAATATGTATATAATTTATAAAATGTATTTTTTAATTATTCAGTTTTAGATATATATATATATACATACCTATATATATATATGGATTTTAAATTTAATGTAGCACAATTGATTACAATTAATGATTTATTGAAAATTAACAAATTATTCCCTGTCTGAACTGCCTACATCATAATTTTTAATCATCAATGTGCATAGAAATTTATTGTATTTCATTATGATTGAATCATATAAATGTCTTGGATTTCATTATGCTTGGATGAACATCTATGCAAATGATTTTATATCGCGAAATTAAAGACTGGAAATTTTTCAAGTTTGGGTTTTATTATCTTCATCTGTAAGGCTTCACTCCCGGCAACGATGACTGCAAGCTGATTACTCTTCTATGTTCTGGAAATATTACAATTTAAATAAAAGTCACACAGGATAGTGGTGCAGCGAAGCTTCTCTCCAATGGATGTGTACAGGCTGCTTCCTTTTTTTTTTTTTTTTTTTTTTTTTTTTTTTTTTTTTTTTGTGCTAAGTGAATCCATTCGAATATCAACAAATTCCAAATGACTGTGAACATAAGAAAACAATGTGCATAACTAATTTATTAAGAATTTCAATATCTTAATACCTGTAAACTCTCTTCTCCCTTTTCAGGCCTTTGCAAAATTTTAACACAATGTTCTGAAGTTACTTTTGAAATTGATAAGCCTAATATTCTAACTAAAAAGAAATCAGAAATGTTCATTCTACAAGACTCATACCTTTTAATCCAACAAGTGAATTTAAAATAACAATTAGAAATACAGTCAAAAGTCTTTAATCCGTACTCGTCTGGACTTCGGCGATTCTGGATTATATATTATCAGTTTAAATATGGTAAGATGGCATGCAGAAATTATAAAATTAAAAATATGAAACCATAATTTATGAAATAAAGAACAATTATGATCTGAAGGGTATCAAAATTTACAAAAAAAAAAAAAGCTTAATATTTATTTGTTTGCTTTATTAAACATTTCTTTCAACGCGCACATGCGTAAAGCATACATTATGCATAGTCGAAATTAGAAAATTGCAACCAGAAAACTATTTGATGTGTACTCGTGATGTTTATAATTGTGAGGAATTTGATTTAAATCATATCAAAGACGAAATACATCGAGATGAAATACTACATTTAGTAAGGAATTATGAGCTGAATAAAATAAAAACATCTGCCCTTAAGATAAGGATAGTGCTGACAGATCAAATTCCAGTTCATTGAACGCCACGTCCCCCCCCCCCCCCCGCAGTGCAGCGTGAAATTTATTAACAGATTTAGGAACGGTTAGAGAAACAAAGGATAATTCTATTTGAAATAATCGAAAGTTCAAGCTTACTTTATAAAATTGCTCTAACAGTCTGCAAAATATAATAAGCCGGATCCATTTCGAAGATTAAGGAACAACGCAGTCTGCAACATTAACTGAAATAGATAATTACATAATTTTAGCTTAGCTTATACTGTCCGTTATACATTAAACGCGCATGCGTAAACTCCTATGCGCATGCGTGAACGCATTATGCGTTGACGCATGCGCTGAAAGTTTGTAGCTTTGAGATCCGGATTATAGATCATTCCGGATTATGGGTGTCCGGATTAACGACTTTTGACTGTAGTAGATTTCCTGTTTTTGTCCAAAATTAATTAATTGAAAAAAAATTATTCCGATCATGACATTTAAAAACCTGATTTAGACCTTAAACCCTAACTATGACAAATTA